CATCAGCAATTGATGGGGTGGTCCAGACCATGAGCAAAATATTGGGCCAGAACAGGGTCTTAACATGGAAACAGAGCCAGAGGTGGAGATGTATAGTGACCAGGACAGAAAACCAAAGGAGTCAGTCTGAGGTGGTACAAACTTGCAGAAGAAAGACCAGGCAGGTCTTTCAATGACCAAATGGCAGCTCATAATGACCAAAGACAGGTGGGTCCAAGACCCAGGCTGTCAACAGAACCAGAACTATACAGCAAAACCAGGGCCAGGCACAGTGGCTCATGCTCAGAATCCCAGCACTTTGGGAGGCCAAGGCAGAAGGATCTCTTGAGCCCAGGAGTTCAAGGCCAGCCTGGGCAACATAGTGAGACCCGGCCTCTACAAAAAATAAAATTAATTAGCTGGGCATAGTGGTGCATGCCTGTAGTCGTAGTAACTTGGGAGGCTGAGATGAGAGGATCACTTGAACTGGAGGCTGGGGCTCCAGTGAGCTGTGATTGTGCCCCTGAACTCCAGCCTGGGCGACAGAGTAAGACCCTATAATACTGTGATCCCCAATCTTTTTGACACCAGGGACCGGTTTGGTGGAAGACAATTTTTCCACGGACAGGGGAGGAGATGATTTTGGGATGAAACTGTTCCACCTCAGATTATCAGGCATTAGATTCTCATAAGGAGCACGCAACCCAAATCCCTCGTATGTGCAGTTCACTTTAGGGTTCGAGCTCCTATGGAAATCTAATGCAGCCGTGGATCTGACAGGAGGCGGAGCTCAGGTGGTAAAGCTCACTTCCCCTCTGCTTACCTCCTGCTGTGCGGCCCAGTTCCTAACAAGCCACAAACGACTAGCAGAGTAGCAGTCCGTGGCCCAGGGGTTGGGGATACCTGCTGTAATTGCAGTAGACCTAGGACTCATCCAAGTTTCAGATGCTGATTCCACCACTTTACACCAGAGGAGAGTTTTCCGTTTCCAAACCACTTTCACAGGCAGTGAGTGTCTCACTGGGTCTTCAAAAGCAGCCTCAAGAGCTGAGTAGAGCTATCATGTAATCTCCAGTTGATTCACAGGCAGAGAAACAGAAAGGCTACGTGACTTGTTGAGTGTTTTTGTGTCACTTAACTGCTTATTAGCCGGGTGTGTAGAGAAAAGAAAACGGACCTTGAGTCTGGTAGACCGGGTGAGAGTCAATACAAGGAAGTTATTTGACTTCTATGAGGCTCTCTTTTACCTTGTCACTATATATATATATATATTATATATATATATTATATATATTATATATTATATATATTATATATATATTATATATTATATATATATTATATATATATATTATATATAATATATATATTATATATATAATATATATATATATATATATTTTTTTTTTTGAGATGGAGTTTCGCTCTTGTTACCCAGGCTGGAGTGCAATGGCGCGATCTCGGCTCACCGCAACCTCCGCCTCCTGGGTTCAGGCAATTCTCCTGCCTCAGCCTCCTGAGTAGCTGGGATTACAGGCACGCGCCACCATGCCCAGCTAATTTTTTGTATTTTTAGTAGAGACGGGGTTTCGCCACGTTGACCAGGATGGTCTCGATCTGTCGACCTCGTGATCCATCCGCCTCGGCCTCCCAAAGTGCTGGGATTACAGGCTTGAGCCACCATGCCCGGCCTATATATTTTTTTGAAACAGAGTTTCGCTCTTGTTGCCCAGGCTGGAGTGCAGTGGTGAAATCTTGGCTCACTGCAGCTTCCACCCCACAGATCCAAATGATTCTCCTGCCTCAGCCTACCAAGTAGCTGGAACTATAGGTGCCCACCACTATGCCCAGCTAATCTTTTTTGTAATTTTAGTAGAGGTGGGGTTTCTCCATGTTGATCAGGCTAGTCTTGAACTCCTGACCTCAGGTGATCCACCTGCCTCAGCCTCCCAAAGTGCTGAGATTACAGGCATGAGCCACTATACCCGGCCTTTTTTTTTTTTTTTTTTTTTTTTTTTTTTTTTTTTTGAGATGGAGTCTCAACCAGGCTGGAGTGCAGTGGTTTGATCTTGGCTCACTGCAGCCTCTGAACTCCCTCCAGGGTTCAAGCAATTCTCCTTGCCTCAGCCTCCCAGGTAGCTGGGACTACAGGTGTGCGCCACCATGCCCGGCTAATTTTTGTATTTTTAGTACAGACAGTTTCGCCACGTTGGCCAGGCTGGTCTCGAATGATCCACCAATCTTGACCTCAAACCAAATTACAAGTTATGTTTCAGCTGCTTCTCACTGGCCAGAGGCAGACTACTCCCAGGTTTTATTTCGTTGGGGAGAGCATTAGCAGCACTTGCCATGGGAGGCTGAACCTCCCTGTTATGGATAGACAACCAAACACAGACACTGTGTAGACATACCTTCGCCAAGAGGCCTTCGAAGGGCCTGGACCTAGGCTGTTTTAGGATGGAAACAGTAGGAAGCGCTATTTCCACATCTTCCCCTGTGCTCCCAGGACCATGTAGGGTGCAACAGAAACATGCAGAGGAGAGGAGCTGCTCCTACTCTCTAGGGGTTGAGGATGCAGCCAGCATAGGACTACAGCCCAGGGACCAAAGCCTGCACTTACCTCCTTTCCCCAGAAGACAGTCTGGGAAAGTCAGCCCCCCACATCCTCCTGTACCCAAAGTCTGCCTGTTTCCCTTCAGTTACGATTGATGCAAAAGGTAGGTCAGCTCAGAAAAAACCCACTCTTCAGACTGGGCTTGATGGCTCATGCCTGTAATCCCAGCACTTTGGGAGGCCGAGGCGGGCAGATCACCTGAGGTCGGGAGTTCAAGACCAGCTTGGCCAACATTGAGAACCCTCGTCTCTACTAAAAATACAAAATTAGCCAGGCGTGGTGGCATATGCCTGTGGTCCCAGCTACTCTGGAGGCTGAGGCAGGAGAATTGCTTGAATCTGGGAGGTAGAGGTTGAGGTGAGCTGAGATCACGCCATTGCACTCCAGCCTGGACAACAAGAGTGAAACGCCAACTCAAAAATAAAAATAAAAAATAAAAAAACACGGCCGGGCGCGGTGGCTCAGCCTGTAATCCCAGCACTTTGGGAGGCCGAGGCGGGTGGATCACGAGGTCAAGAGATCGAGACCATCCCGGTCAACACGGTGAAACCCTGTCTCTACTAAAAATACAAAAAATTAGCTGGGCATGGTGGCACGTGCCTGTAATCCCAGCTACTCGGGAGGCTGAGGCAGGAGAATTGCCTGAACTCAGGAGGCGGAGGTTGCGGTGAGCCGAGATCGCGCCATTGCACTCCAGCCTGGGTAACAAGAGCGAAACTCCGTCTCAAAAAAAAAAAAAATAAAAAAAAATAAAAAAACTCACTCCTCTCCTCTCCCCTGACTCAACCCTTTCTTCCCTGTCATTTCTGTCCCACACCCAGCTCCAACTAACAGACTCTGGGGAGGCCAGCAGCTCCAGGGGTTCTGTTGTTCCCATAGGCCTGGAAGTTGTCACATCTCTGGGTTCCAGGGCCAGCTGTTTGTCTTCTACAGTTCAAGTGCTCAGGCCTCATGCTAGCAAAAGCAGCCTGCTCCCATCCAAGGATGTAAATCTCCCTCCACTTGACACCTGGCCACAAGTTGCTGGAGAAATGACCAGATTCCATCTGACAATCTGCAGATGGAATCCATAGCCCCAGCATAAGTCTAAACACTACAAAGGAGTGTGACAGCTGGCACACGGACACATCCAGCAAGACTCGAGCAGGATGAGCCTCTGGACAACGTTCAAGGACAAGTCTACAAACCGGGGGCCCCTCCTCCAAAATCATCTTTCTCCCCTGCCTAGCACTGACAGGCCAACTTTATCCAGTGATGTTGGGAGAATACCCAGAGATGGGGAGAGGAGGGCCTCTTATTTATCAAGCAAGACTTCCTCCTCCACTAAGAGCCACAAAGTTGAGTCTTTGCCAAGAAATCTTGCACACCTCAGACACCAGAGATCTCACCCTGCTCTAATTAAAAAAGAGAAAGTCATCTTTTGTATGCAAACATCCTGAGAAATAAAACCTGGGCTCCTGGAGAAAAGAGAGCAGCACAGACCAGGTCCAATTCACAAGGAACACCCATATGTGGAAATCCACCGAGCTCCTCCTGGGGGCAGATGGAATTTTATAACTCTAGGGCCCCTGAACCAAGACAACACATTTCGTACTGCATCACAAGCACGCGAAACATCTGTGATTTACGAAGTATCCCATAAATCAGCCCGGACAACGGTCTTGGCTCATGGAGTTTAAATAGAAACCCGCAAAATGATCTAATGATTTCCATAGAAATTTTCTTTCCATAGGAAACCTGCCTGATAAGATTCATAAAAATGGGAATAAAAGAAAAATGTATCAACAGGCTCAAATTTGATAACTTCAGTTTTACTTTAAGAGGATAATACAGATTTTGGTAGCCCGGGAAGGGGAGTGGGAAGGTTGTGGAAAGGCTGGGAAACATCAGAATATCTTTATAACACAAGACATTTGGCCAACACAAGCAACCTTTGTGCCTACACACACACACACACACACACACACACACACACACACACTTTCTCTCACACACACCCCACATAAGGCACTGAACAAAACCTGTTCCTGATGACTGAGGGACCTTATGAATCCACCACTGGCTTCTAGCATGGAGGGGACAAATGCCCCCTGCCCTGAGCCTGGCCACAGCCAGCCCATCCCCTGTGGCCACTTTGTCCGAGTCCTGCAGGGGGTGTGGCTTTGCTACTCAATGGCAACTGGATTCCAAGAGTTTCAGGAAGGGTAGGGGAGCAAGATATCAAAGGCTCAAGCTCGCCCCCTTCGTCCAGACAGACTTTTCATATTTCGTTTGATGAGGATTAGGAAGAAAAGGGCGAGGATTAGGCCTAATTTACTGCCTCTGTCAAAAGCTAGCGAAGAGTGGAAGGGAAGGGAGTAAGTGGATTATGCAAAGAAAACAAATGGAGAAAAAGGGGGCCAAGGATGAACCGCGTTCAGTGATATTTATTCATCTGATTGCAAAAGGAAAAGAAGGGATGTGTTCCCATGGTTCACCTTCCTGTGAACCTGGAGCTCCCAAAACCCCGACAAAGACCTTCTGACACTGCCATGAGGTAGATCGGAGCCGTTTCATGGCTACGGTGAGAGAGGCCAGTGCTTGAGAGCCGTAATGAGGGAACTAGAGACAAAACCCCAAATCTTGGTCTTTTCCAGCCTGCTACTCTGAGCCTGGGCTATGGAGCCTGGAGAACACTGCGGTCTCATCAGGGTTTGGGTGGCAGAAGGAATGGGACCGGGGGCGCTCTCTTTGCCCTAAGCACTCACTGACTGCACAAGCGAGCCAGGTGATGGGTGCCCTCTACCAAAGCCAGCTGGCTGCTCCAGGGCAGCTGGGCACTACCACCAAAGGAGGAGTGAAGTTCAAGGGTGGGGTTTAGAAAACATCTCTCAGAGAGTGAAAGAACCCACTTGGTAAGGATTCCCCACTCGGGTCACATGGCCCAGTCGCCAGGTTCTGAAGGGTAGAGTGTCACAGCCCGGAAATCCCATGGGATTCATTGTGAACAGAGGCTAGAGGCTTTCCACAAGTTCTGATCAACCGAGTTGTTCCTTCTTGTCCTTCAGGCCTAAGAAACTCCCCAGGAAGCCCTGAAACAAAACAAAACAAAACAAAACAAAACAAAAAACGGAAATAACAGCCCCTGGGGTGAAGGGAGGACCAGGTGCACTGAAGGAAGGGGCAGGGATCAGGGACCCTGGAACGCATATTTAATTACACAAAAAACGCCAGGGCACCACCGGACCACACACGCCCCACCCCACCCCCACTCCAACCCAGCCCAGGCACGAATCTGCACTCACAGGCTCCTCACAGCTGCACTTCATACCGGAAGTGGATTCTCACCTCCACGGCCATCAAACCTTTCAGAAAATTCAGAACTGAATCCGAGGGCTTGGGGGTGGAGGGGCGGGCACTAGCCCTGTCTTCAAGTGTGAGCCAGGTCTAGAGATGGCCAGAAATCGGGGTGGGAGTGGAGGTAAAGAACTAAGCAGGAAAACCAAAGCTAGAGCCGACCCGGCGCCCTGGCTCAGGCCTGTGAAAGTGAGCTCTTCCGTGAGCTGACATCTCACCACTGCATTCCAGCCTGGGCGAAAGAGATGAGACCCTGTCTCTATTTAAAAACAACAACAACAACAACAACAAAACCCAGAGCCAACCAGGCAGTGCCAGAGTCCTCGGGACACCGCAGCGCTTTGCCATGGCGCACCTGTGTCCTGAAAGGAAAGGGCCCTGGGTCCCATTTTGGTTCGCTACTCCTCGTTCCCTCTTCTCTCGAGCAGAGCCATCCCAGCTCCCACCTTCTCCTAGGAAACTCCAAACTCAACAAGTCGACGCACGGAGACATCGCAGCCTTCCCGACCCTGAGCCGCGGTTCCCTCCGCCCGGGTTACCTACCCGTCGAGCTGTCGGCAAAGCCTGGGCTGCGCGGGGCTGGTCCCGGCCTCGGAGGCGCCCGAGGGGACGAGGGCGGGGGAGGCGGCGGCGCGGGGCTCCCGGGGCAGGCAGCCGCCACCGCGGCACAGAAGACGGCGGAAGGCGCTACGAAAGTCCGGGCTACGGCAGTAGATGAGCGGGTTGAAGGCAGAGTTGGCATAGCCTAACCAGTTCAGGGCGAGGAAGGCCGGGCCGGGGACCAGAGAGGGGCCCCCCAGGGCGCGCAGCACGTTGGCTAGAAAGAAGGGCAGCCAGCAGAGAGTGAAGGTGCCCATGATGAGACCCAAGGTGCACAGGGCCCGGTGTTCCCGAAGAGGCAGGAGGCGCTCGGGCCGCCGGCCGCAGGCGGGCACTGCTTCAGCTGGAGCGCACGTCTCAGCGCGGGCGGGGGCCAGAGTGCGAGACGGCGCCGGCGGAGACTCCTCCGGCGGAAAGCGGCGCAGCTCCCCGCGCAGCAAGCGCAGCTGGCGAGTAGCCACCACGAAAACCCGCGCATAGACGAAGAGCATCACGAGGAGCGGAAGGTAGAAGGAGACGGAGGAGGACAGCAGCACGTAGGGCACGTTGGAGGCGAAGGCACAGCAGCGCGGGTTGGAGTGGCAGCGCTGCGCCTCGGCGTCGGCCCCTACGCGCCACCACTGGCTCATGATGGGCGCAAACGACACCGCGGCCGACACGGCCCACACCAGGACCACGGCTGCCCGGGCGCGGCGCTTGGTGACCAGTGCGCTGTAACGCAGCGGGTTGGTCACGGCCAGGTAGCGGTCCACGGCCAGGGCGCACAGGGTTTCGATGCTGGCGGTCACACACAGCACGTCCACTGAGGTCCACAGCTCGCAACCAGTGGCGCCCAACGGCCAGTGGCCAGTCAGCGCCAAGGTAGCCCCCGGCGGCACCACCAGGAGTCCCACCACCAGGTCGGCTGTGGCCAGCGAAGTCACGAACACGTTGGTCATGGTCTGGAGTCTCGGCGTCCGGGCGATGGCCACGATGACCAGCAGGTTGCCTCCCACGGTGGCCAGCACAGCCAGCGCCAGCAGCGCCCCAGCCAGGGCCGCCGCCCACGGCACCCCTGGCAGCCCACTGGTGTTGGCGGTATTGGGGACGTCCGGCCACTGGGCTAGAGTACTGTTCCTGTGAGGCCACGGAGTCATCCCTGGTGGCGCGTGGGGTGGGAGGGAAAGAAGGAAGAAGAGGGCCTCCCAAATCACCTGGCTCAGGGGAGGGGGCAGCGGGAGTTGAGAGCGACTACCCTAGCCTGGACCATCTTCCCTAGCAGTCCGGGCAAGAGCGCTCAGCCTCCCCTCACCCCCACTCCCTCTGTGCCACCGCTGGGGGAGGAGTGCGGCGCTTAAAGGGGCAGCGGCCGGCGGATAGTCTGGAGGGGCCTCTGGAGCCCAATTGGAGAGTGGGGAGGATGGCCGATGAGATGTTCCACGTTTCCTTTAGCTAAATCTGGAGGAAGGGACGCCCTGGCTCCTCTGAGACGATCTGTCCACTCCTGCCCTGGCCAGACCCCTGGACTCAGCACAGCACTCCCCGGACACTGGCTTCCTGGAGCCCTGCGCCTCCTTTCCCAGAAGGTCCCAAAGCAACGCTGGGGAAAGGGAGATGAGAGGGCTCCCATCTTCGCCCTTTACCCTGTCAGAGGGAAGGTAACCCGCTGGAGTCAAGCAAAGGATCCACAGGAGCCCCTCATCCACTTGGGTGGCCTCCTCTAAGGTATTCTAAATTAAGTAATAGAGCGCAGCCAGTACTTCCTCTCCCAAGACCTCAGCCTGATGAGATCTGTCCCCTTTCCCTTCTATTTCAGTTACTTTCTCTTCCAGCTTTGTTTTTGTCTTTTTAATATTTTCATGTTATGAGGAAATTTACCATATTTCAGGACTCTTTCTCTCTCTTTCTCTCTCTCCCCCCCCCCCGCCCTTTCTCCTCTCTCTGCTTCTTTCTCTGTCTCTCTCTCTCTCTGGCGGGTAGATCTCTGTCTCTGTTTTTCCCAGGCTGGCTTTGAACTTCTGAGCTGAAGCCATCCTCCTGCCCCAACCTCCTGAGTAGCTGGAATTGCAGGCACGAACCACTAGTAGGCTCGGAAGTTTTTTTCATTGCTAGCCCTGGATTTGCATTTGGATTTGGCACTATGTAGTCTGCGATGCTGCAGAATTTCAGTTTCTCCACCTTCCCCACTCTGTACTGCCCCTTCCACGGACTTTTCCACCTAGCAGTTTTCTAGATGGCCTCTTCTCTTAAAACCCTTCTATTATATTAAAAATGGATGAGCCAAGAGGCGGAGTGGAGAGGCTCACTTGGGCCCAGGAGTTCAAGGTTACAGTGAGCCATTATCACACTACTGCACTCCAGCTTGGACAAGGGCAAGAAGCGAGACCCTATTTTTTAAAAAAATGGGTAAATGGGTGACTAGGTAAGAGGCATGTCTACCATCCCCCCCCAACTATACACAACTCTTCTGTTGCCAACCCCCCAATGGTAAGTGTTCATGCCACTTCCTTTAGGATTTTTTTTTTTTTTTTGAGATGAAAGTTCACTCGTGTTGCCCAGGCTGGAGTGCAATGGCACAGTCTTGGCTCACTGCAACCTCCACCTCCCAGGTTCAAGCAATTCTTCTGCCTCAGCCTCCCAAGTAGCTGGGATTACAGGCATGTGCCACCACACCCAGCTAATTTTTGTATTTTTAGTAGAAACGGGCATTTCACCATGTTGGCCAGACTAGTTTACTCTTGGCCTCAGTCAGGCGATCCACTCGCCTAGGCCTTCCAAAGTGCTGGGATTACAGGTGTGAGCCACCGGGCCCAGCCATCCTTGAGGATTTTATTCATGAACTTTTACAAACTAGAAGGCACTGAGTTGAGGCATTCATGCGTTCATCCTTGGGTGTGTACCATGGCAGTCCTGGTGTTTCAAAGCCTCTGAAGTCTCTTGGGCTGTTCCACCAGAGGCTTCCCTTATCTGAAGAAGCCAGAGGCCTCTTCCCCTCTCCCTTCCCTCACTCAAGACTTGGAAGGCTTCCTTTCTCCAGGCCAAGCTCTCCCAGTCTCTAAACCAGTTTCTCTCAGATTGTGTACGGGGAGGGGGTGCTGGGAAATAAAGCCTCTGGGTTCAAGTGGTGGGGCAGGAAGATGGGACACCTCATTAGGGCCTATCAGGACCTGATTCTTGAGCTATCGTGCTTCCTCCACTGAAACAATGGGGAAAAGGGGGAAAAATTATCATGGAAAATGCCTCCAGGGCTCTGCCCCGCCAGGTCTCCTCTGAATAGCTCTATATTTCCAAAGAACACTTGCGAGTCACTGGTATGAACAATCCCTCTGGGAGACTGAGCCAGGGCTAAGAGTTAGGAAGGTTGCAGGGGAATTCCGAACCTAAAATTATCCCCAAGGAAAAAGAACCAGCCTCATCTCCCAGGGACCTAGCTGCTCACCCACGAGCAGGAGCTGTCAGGCTCCCAAGCAAGTGCCTTCCATACCCATGAGGAACCCCAAGCAGGCCTTTGGATCCATGGAAATGCCCAGGGGGTGAAGGTGAAGAGTCAGCCTCTGGCCCTCCCATCTCCTACTGCCCCCACTCAAGTCATGACAGAGTGGTGCAGGCCCCACTGGGCCTGGAGTCTTGGCTATGGCTTCCTGTTGACCATCAAGGCGGTCACTCCCAAGAAGGGTTTTGCAACACCCCAGAGTGTTGTTGCCAGTTATCTCAAAAGGGTATCATAAGATTCCCAAAAAGTAATCTCTAAAAACCGATACATGCCATCCAGCATTTTTGGTTTCTTTTGTCGTTTTTTTTTTTTTGTTTTTGTTTTTGTTTTTTTGTCCAGGACATTAGCATTGGATGGGGAAGGGAAAGGGGTGCCAGGAAGTCGAGCAACTTCAAAGACTGTCATTGCCTTAGAGGTGACCTTGTAATTTGGAGGAAGTGTGTACAAATGTTTAACATATTTTAAAAAAGACAAGATTTCTCAAACCACGTGAGTGTACCTGAGCTTGGGGAATTATTACGCCAATAACCAGACGACACTGTAAGAAGAGAAATTTCTGACTCGCGTTAGGAAAGGTTTTATGAGCAAACACAGCGACGTCGAGGCACCTGGCCTCCTCCTCCTCTGCCAACCCATCCCCGCTCCCATTCCTCAGTCTGGTTTCCCACTGCCCAAGCAGATGGCAGGGGGAAGGGCTCCCTCATTTGCCACTTCAGTCTATAAGACTATTGGGTCTTATTTGTGATTTTGTCTTTTTTAACTTAATTTTTTGAATAGATTATACGTGCACATTATTCAATCATCAAAATATACCAAATGTGGTCAGGTGTGGTGGCTCATGCCTGTTACCCCAGCACTTTGAGAGACCAAGGAATGTGGATCACCTGAGGTCAGGAATTGGAGACCAGCCTGACCAACATGGTGAAACCTCGTCTCTACTAAAAATACAAAAATTAGCCAGACATGGTGGTGGGTGCCTATAATTCCAGCTACTCAGGAGACTGAGGCAGGAGAATCATTTGAAACTGGAAGGCGGAGGTTTCAGTGAGCCAAGACTGCACCATTGCACTCCAGCCTAGGAGACAGAGCAAGACTATTATATATATATATATCAAATGCATATTATAGAGACTTGCTTTCATCCCAGTTTTCATCTCCCTAGCAGGTAACTACACTTAGTCTCTGGTTTATCCCTTGGCTAATATTTTATATACATACAAGTCAATACAAATGTATATATATTCTTGTATCCTTTCTTTTCTACACAAATAGCAGTCAAATATACCCACTGTTCTGTACCTTGTTTTTTGTTTTTTGTTTTTTGTTTTTTGTTTGAGACGGAGTTTCCCTCTTGTTACCCAGGCTGGAGTGCAATGGCGCGATCTCGGCTCACCGCAACCTCCAGCTCCTGGGTTCAGGCAATTCTCCTGTCTCAGCCTCCTGAGTAGCTGGGATTACAGGCACGCGCCACCATGCCTAGCTAATTTTTTGTATTTTTAATAGACACGGGGTTTCACCATATTGACCAGGACGGTCTCGATCTCTTGACCTCGTGATCCACCCGCCTCAGCCTCCCAAAGTGCTGGGATTACAGGCTTGAGCCACCGCGCCCAGCTGTACCTTGCTTATTTTAACTTAACTATGTGTCTGTGATCCCTCCAGATCGATATACAAAAGTGTCCTTTTTTTGAGACAGAGTCTTGCTTTGTCACCCAGGCTGGAGTGCAGATGCCCAATCTCAGCTCACTGCAACCTCTGCCTCCCAGGTTCAAGCAATTCTCCTGCCTCAGCCTTTCAGGTAGCTACAACTACAGGTGCGCGCCACCATGCCCAGCTAATTTTTGTATTTTTAGGAGAGATGGAGTTTCCCCATGTTGGCCAGTTGGTCTCAAACTCCTGACCTCTGGTGATTCGCCCACCTTGGCCTTCCAAATGCTGGGATTACAGGCATGAGCCACCGTGCCCATCCAAAAGCATCTCATTTTCAGTATCCCATTATATGGATATATGATCATCTATGAAACCAATCAGCTACTGATAGACATCGAGCTTACTAACAGATGATGTTGCAACAAATAAACACGTCTTTTCACCTGTATGTGAGTATATCCTACAAATAGATTTTGCTATATTATAAGGTCTTTGCATTAGCAAATTTGAAAGATACTGCCAAATGGTCCTCCCCAGGGATGTACCCAATTATACTCTCACCATCATTTTTGATGGTCAGCAGAGGGGTGGAAGCAAGTGACCGACTGCTCTGGGAAGTCATCCTAATGACTGGCCCAAGGGGAATTAGTACTGCCTGGGCTGGAAAGGTCATCCAACTTGGGATAGAAGCATGCAGTGCCCAGAGAGAGCACATGCTGGCCCTCAGCCCCCAGATGACCTATGTTCTGTGCCCTTGGAAGCAGGCAGCGCCTATGGGCCTCTGATTGCACTGAGTTCAGGCCCCCAGGCTGCTGTTTACATGTCAGTGCTCCAGGGTTATGTGTCAGGGAGAGTCATGCTCTGAGATTTAGAGTATGTGGCTGGTAAAGCCAGAAGTGGCAGCAGCCACCTGACAGGTCGAAGTTCTAACAGCAGGGAAGAGTACTGTCTCCTGTGAACTTCATGATTGGGTGCATGTATGTGTGTGCCTATGTGTGTTCATGTGCCATGGAATAAAGAAGCCAAAGAGAGTTCAGGTGATCCCAGCCTTGTACCCTGTCTAAGACTACAATGTGTAACAGGTGGTTCTCTTCTACCATTCATAATCCACCCCTCTTGCTTTAAAGTTCTTGG